CCCCCATCTATTCTCTGCCTCCCGAGTCTCAGCTGATCAGAAGGGAATGAGGATTCCACATTAACCTTCCCTTGGAGTGGGGAGGAAATGGAGATTTTACACTATCCTTCCCTTGCCATGCCCACCCTGCCATGCCCATCAAGCCACACCACAGAACCGGTAGTGAATCCCACCACTGTCCCAGTATTCCCTCTGGGGAAGGCCAGGAATTGGGCTTATCTAGTCCAGGAGCCTCCAAACTTGGCAACTTTAAGGCTTATGGACTTCATGGGGAATGAAAGTTGTCAGGTTGGAGAACCCTGGTCTAGCTTATTGAAAAGAAGGATTAGGAGTGATATGATAGCAGCCTTCCAGTATTTGAGGGGCTGCCACAAAGAAGAGGGAGTCAAACTATTCTCCAAAGCACAAGAAGGCAGGACGAGAAGCAATGGATGGAAAGTCATCAAGAAGAGAAGCCACCTGGAACTAAGGAGAAGCTTTCCGACAATGAGAACAATTAATCCGTGGAATGGCTTCCCTCCAGAAGTTGTGGGTGCTCCAACACTGGAGGTTTTCAACAAGAGAACAGACAACCATTGGTCTGTGATGGTAGAGTGTCTCCTATGTGAGCACGGGTTTGGACTAGATGACCTCCAGGGTCCCTTCCAGCTTTGTTATTTTGTCCACATGTCTTCCAAATAGGCATGGCTGGAGAAACACTGGTTAGGGTTAGTCAAAGAAGTGTATGAAAAATCCAACCTGCAGGCATTTCAGCCAAACGTCCAGAGATCTCGCGAAGGGCTTCCGCCCAGCGGGAGGTGGAATCAGCCATCATGCTAACATGGTATCCCATGTCCCGGAAATATTCTGAGAGGGTGATTCCTGGGAAAGAAAAAAGAATGGGAAAGGATTACAGGAAGGTTTCAAAACAAATTAAAGAGGCTTTGGTAGTCCTTTCCTATCTTTGGATGCTGCTGTCAGATCCCTAAATGCGATACTGCCACTCAATTGGGAGGAAGGGGGCCTTGGAGTCAATTGATTGGCAGTGCCCGTGACAACTGATGTTTTACAACTGGTTTCCTGGTGCCGAAAGGCTTGAGACCCCGTCACCTTTTGGGGAATGTTTATGATGGCCGTGTGGGATGTTTTACTTTAATGTCTAACAGAAGGTAGCCATGGGAATGTATGTTTATTCGGCTCTCAGGACAGTTGATAAAGGAAACATCTTCACACTTGTGTGAAGAATCTGCATTCTAACAAAGAGGAGGGGTCACTATCCCTTTAATTCTACTTGCATTGCCTAAAGGGATTCAGACGCTGCTTTGCCTCTAACGGCTTCCATTCTTCTTAATTAAGGGTTCTTAATTAAGAGCCGAGGTGGCGCAGTGGTTAGGGTGCAGTATTGCCACTTCAGCTGACTGTTATCTGCAGGTCGGCTGTTCTAATCTCACCGGCTCAAGGTTGACTCAGCCTTCC